CACCGCCGCTGTTCACGACAGGTGGAGGGGCACCACAAGAACCGAGCAGAGAAAGAGTGCGAGACGGCTGCCTGACTGGCATCGAGTGGAGAACGAGTGGGGATCTTAATACCTCTGCGGCGCGCCACGTTCGGCGCTACGCCATCCGACATAGGGTGATGGTCTCGTTCTCCAAATACCGTACGAGGTCAAGGTCGCGCGAACATTGAAAGCTTACATAAACCTGTAACGTGGAAAAATGGGCTGACGCAATATTTGCAAAAGTAGATTAGCTTGAGCTTGGTTGAGCTTGCCAGACTAACATTCGCGTTTAATAATATTTACAGATTATAGCTAATCCAGCTAAAAATGTCCTATTGATCCCAGATCCTGTAGGCTTAGGCTACTGATTACACGCCTGCTTTCTCAAGTAATGAGTTTAACGCATAATCATGCATGTTGTGTGTGTATACTGCAAACCCTCTAGTGTACAAACAAGGTAGAGTGTACTTGCAAGCACACAAATATAATTGCGTACTTGTCCCGAGGGGGAGCAACAACTCCGGGAATCATGTGTGCACCTGCCTGGGAATCGTGAGGACAAAAATTAATCGAGTCGAAATCGACAGAAATCGCTTAAACTAAACGGGAGTCGAACTGGTACAAATCAGTCGAAATAAGCGTTTTCTACCTCTAGAAAACCTAAGGAATAAATATAAGCTGACGAGAATCACTGGAAATCAAGTATTTCCGGAATCATGTGAACACATCAAAAGGGAGTTATTGCCCCCTCGACTTGTCCTAGTACACACAAGACAGAGTGTACTTACTATGTATGGCCTTAGTTGGGAAGTACAGAACAATCTGCTTCTTTGTACAGAATTTGTTAACAGTGTTGAGTGTACTTTGTGTGTATTGTTATGTATTTTTTAAATTGCCAATAATAATAAAAAATATTATTGCCAACCTCAATACCGCCACCGTGATTTTTTGCTGTTACCAAAAAAGATGCCCGAATGGCGCACAACGAGGCCAACGAGGCTCTACCTCAAATCTTTATATGTTGTGACTGGCATGCACAATTCCTGTCGCAGCATTACGTGAGCAGTAGATATACAAGGTAGCCCAGAGGCCCTGTGTTTTAAAACTGATACTGTGCCGCAAGCAGGCGCGCGGGCGGGTTTGTCTACCGTCGCTCAGCATGACCCCTTATGGCCCGGACTATAGGTCAGTTCACGAGAGCCGCCGCCTCGGCAGGGTGAACGACAAAGACGAGATGAGTCCATTCGCTATCAGACGGGCGATCGAGCAATCGCATTTCTCACACGCCTCACACGGTGATATGTGGATTTTTTTTCCCAGTACTTCCAACCCTAAGCATTAGTAGTGGGAGCAACACGAAAGGGGTTAAGGTTGTAAGTAAGCTGTACCTTCAGCCCGAGCTGCTACCGCTCGGGGCTGAGGAGCAACGGGATCAAGCAAAAGGGATCAGCCATCAGATCAGCTGGCCAAAATGCAGAGCGGGGCTTCGAGAGGCAAGGCCAGGCCGGACCAAGTCGCGGAGGTGGAAGAAGGGGTTGGGGTGGAGGTGGGGAGGATAGGACGGCGATGCAGCGAGGGATAACACTACAAGGTAGTTGGACACGACAGGGCGCACTGCAAGAAAATAATCGCAAGATACAAGTTTTGGAGAGTATGGAATCCGAATGCACAGCGGTTGGTAGTTGGTTGTGGGTTTGTTAAGAATGAAGAACGAGTAAACTTGTGTTCCAGGTAAACTGCGTCGACGTTATTACAGGGTTGTTACAGGCTCCGGATTTTCAATTTTACTGACTTTTCCCTGACTTTTCCCGGACCAAAATCCTGATTTTTACTGACTTTTTAGGCAAGAAAGTAGGCACTATTCCGAACAACGGGAGGAAAAATATCACTAAAAACAAGAGGATGAACAAAAGCGGCGACTGGCTGCGCCGGTAGGGCCAGGCAAGTGCCGCTGCCGCAGATCGAGCGTAAATTTAACGCATTTTTACTCATTCATTTGCAAGGGGGCAGTCAACCGGAGAAATTTTACTGACTGCTCTCTCAATTTTCCTGGCTTTCCCTGACTTTCCCTGACCCGTTTTCTAATTCCTGACTTTCCCTGACTTTTCCTGACTTTCACGGTCTGTAACAACCCTGTATTAAAGTGTTAAGGGTTGGCGAGTACATAATTTGACGGCTGTTATGGGGCACTGCAGACCCCCGGGACTGTCCGGACCGGGCGCTGGCGGAGAGACGGCCCAAGACGAACCCCCGGGTTGAGTGAGGGGGCGGGGCGGGGCGCGAGGCGAGGGGAGCACTAGAGTCTGGAACGGACATCCCAGATAGCCAGCCGGAGCGGGCAATGACTCCCGTCGAGTTTCCAGCCCTGCATTTGGTGAATGCTCACTGCTCATCGCCTTCCGAGACGAATAGTACAACAGCGCGACAGCGAGCTGCAGCGCGCGCGCCCGCGCCCCATTTCGCAGCGAGGAGGCGAGCGACCGAGTGAGGTTATGAGACCACCTACCTCCAAGTTGTTTCCTCTGAGGCCAGCCGCGAGCGCAGAGTAGAGTAGCTGCATCGACGTCGTTACCTCGGCACCATCCTTGTCACATCCATCACTCACACGCCCCACGCCAGCGACACCAGTCTGTCTCTCGCCCTGTCCTCCCTCACTCACACACACACTCGCTCTCGCAGCCTCCTGCCTCCTGCTGCCACCGCCCGCAAGCCTCAGCGCTCAGCCAAGGCGGCTCTCGCACTACTGAGGGCGAGGGCCTGGGAGGGCTTGCGCCCCACCACCCCCTCCCGCGGGATCCCCACCCCCTCGCCCGGCCCCCTCT